ATATAATAATTAATATTTGATATGGAAGACAAACTGTAATTAAAATTATTATAAGTATAACTGTTCGACGAACCATTTTTAATTCTCGATGTGCACGTAATAAAATATTTGCAGGTATTACACGTTTATTCATTTGTTTCACATATCGAACTAGTTTAAAATAAATAAATATAGTTGTCAATACGGGTATTACATAGACACAGAATCCCATATAATTAATTGAGAAGGAAAGTTGAAAAGGTATTTGACATATCTGATTATTTCTATCATAAACTATTTCACCAGATAACAAAAATTCCAATGGATAAACAGAACTAAACATCCATGTTATACAAATAAGAAATATTTGACTTCGAATTGATTGCCAAAATAAACGATGTGGGTAAATGACTATAATATAACGATTTAAAGCTTGTAATAGAAATGAATAATTCATCATAGCACATGCACTATAACCAAAATAAGCTCGAAAAATACAAAGAGAATCTTCATATTCAATTTGTTTGAGATCATTTTGAAATGTAAACACACATACAGACAGTAGATTAATTCCAAATAGAAGTACAGTGAAACATGAATTAGCACTTAACATCATTGAAATTGTATGACACGTTTTATCCAAAACGATAATAAATAAGAAAAACAAAGCACATATAATAACAAAAATAGAACAGACTACTGAGAAAATATCGAAAGGAATAAACCATGATTCGACATCTGCTGTTGTTAAATTAGACATTAATGTTCTTGCCAGTATAGATGATGATGAATTCATTTCTGAAAAATATTTAAGAAAGTTAATGATAAGCTTCTATCTATTAAATAAGTCATGCGCGAGATTTTATGAAAGAAAATAAATTATACATTAAATAGAAGCATTTTTTTGCTTTTCACTCGAATAATTTCTCGTTTTCTTGTTTCAACAACATCATATAATGAAAACCATAGAAGATTGCTTATTTAAGACAATAAACTATTGAACCATTTCAATAAACAATCATGATATACTATAATTAAAATATAATTTGTTTCAAAGTTAACGATGTGTATAATATAACAATGTAATATCTTACTTTTGAATGTTCTATGCATCAACAAAATATATTTGTATTCAGAACGCTATGCTGAAAATAATGAACTATAGAAAACGGAAGAAAATTTTTTCCGTACATTTTATTCTTACGATTAGCAGAAGGATAGCATGTTTATTCTTTTTTATACGTCTCAGTTATTTCATATTCTTACGTTCCGCTAAATTATCATTAGCATACGTATTATTCATTTCCCGGTATGTTACTAATTAACTGATAGCCTTAAAATGATCAATAAAACTTTATAATTAACTTTACATAGAAAAAAACTTTGCATTATGACGGAGCATAAAAAAAAGCTTTGTCATCGCTTTTTATTCCGCTATTTTCTGAAGTGCATTAAATGCAAAACATTGACAGTAACAACAAAAATTTGTACGTTTCATGACATTTTCAATAGAACTCTCACAATTTTCTCCATTGGTCTCTAAGTTTGAAGCTAATCTTTGTATATAATATTCATTGGATTAAACATCTGATGACCACATTTTTATGTTGATTATTCTTTAATTTATTTGAAAATATACCAAGGTCGTAGATCGGTATCTCTACTCTTAACTCACACCCACACTCTGTAGTTTTAAAAGAGAATAAGATTAATTAAAACTTATTCCAAATTCAGTTTGTAGTTTATCGAAACTATTGCTGCCGAGAAGATAAAATTACTATCGCATGCTAATAAGAGTATTACTTTATTTTATAAAGAATAAAGAAAATATTTTCAAGTGATCGATGAATAGATAAATATTAATCGTAGTTTTTTCCTGTCATCAGTCACATTCTAATATGGATTAGTGTCAGCAAATGAATATGAGGTATTAAAGATTTATGGAAAAACTTCTCTCCAGAATCTTTTTTTAGTCTGTGACCTTATGATATTTGGTGACCTACCTGGAAAAGAAAAAAGCTTAGTTTATTAAGAGAAAAAACAATTTTTTTATTCTTTATTTTATCTTTATTTATAAATTCAAGACAAAGTAACACCCCTGCATGCTAATAAAGAAAATGAAAGAGAAAAAAGCTGTTAGCGCAATCCCTGGCGGGATTAAAATGTGAAACACAATAGAACTGTTGCTTCTAATTTCAAGAAAATCGTTTAATAGTATCATTATGAAGCGGCTCTTACCTCATCCTATGACATAAATACATAGAAATATCAGAAAGAAATAATTTACATATGTTGAACTAGGGTGTGGGTGTGGGTGTGGGTCTGGAACTGGCTGTTAATGTAAGTATGCGAGTTAAGACAGTAGACGTCCATTCACATCCCCAGACTCACGCTCACCCTTAATATTTTACAAAATTATGAAAAAGATTGAGTGAATCTTTATTCATTCTTGGACATCACCATCACGCATAGTCAAAAATCGAATGCAATGTGTTCAAATCGCGTGTTTAGTTGAAAGAAAGCAATAAGAGCATGGATGTAAATGTGGGTGATGGGCTGTGATTGATATATCAACATCAAACCGACACACTCATTATAAATATAATATATCGAGAAAAAACTGAAATATTCAAATATAAAAACAATAAATTCCTTGCAATTGTTTTAATGATATGAATACAAAACGATATCAAACATATTTTTTCTATCAATCAATTTTCCTATTCTCTTTTATGCCATTATGGCTGCCACGAGATTTGGTCGTCGACTTAGTTTTTTCATTATTGAACTTTTAACTGGATCTGTAAATTTAAATAATGTAATCATTACAAATAATAACGAGATCTTAGCGAATATATACGCTATACGCAAATGATATTTTGGTGGTTCAGTAATAAATCCTATAGAAAGAAAAATTGTAATAGGTAAACCAAGTACTAATAAAATCATAATAAGTATAACTATTCGATAAACCATTTTTAATTCTCTTTGTGCACGAATTAAAGTATTGACAGGTGTAACACGATGATTCATTCCTCTAACATATCGAACTAATTTCAAATATATATACATAATTCCACTCATCGGTATTATATAGATATAAAATGCAGTATAAACTGTTACAACAGAAAGATGAAGTACCATCTGACATATTTGATCATCAACTTAATATTTGATTTCATGAGAGAGTAAAATTGGTAAAATACATATAAAGACAGATGCCCACATTAAACAGATGAGAAATAATTGAAATTTTGCTGATTGCCAAAATAATCGAGTGGGATAAACAACTGTCATATAACTATAAATAGCTTGTAAGAGATATCCATAAAATAATTCACCACCAGTAACATAAGTCATATAACCTCGAAAAATACAAAATGAATCTTCATAGGAAATTTGTTTAAGATCATTATAAAGTGAGATGATTGTCGCCCAAAACATAATAATCGTAAAGAAAAGACAAGCGAAACATGAATTAGCTAAAAACATCATTGGAATTGTATGACATGTTTTATCAATTAAAATAATAAATAAAAATAAGAAAGCTAATAGAATAGCTAAGAAGAGACATATAAGTAATAGAATATCGATAGGAATAAACCATGATTGATTATTTATAAGTGTAAAATTTAAATCTTTTGATAGAGAAACTAAGAGAGTCATTGTGTTCATCTAAAAAATAATGAGAAAGCAAGAAGGTAGATATATATATATATACAACATGAAGAATTATTTACGCACAAGACTGTTTCTTTAATGCGTACCATTAATTTTGCTGATTATTTGACAAAAATTTTATACGATTCAGTTCTTTCATGTAAAACTATCAACGACTTCCATAGTTTCAAAATACTTGACATGGAGATATAACGTGAATTTTAGGTTATCTGAAAGCGAAATGTTACATTGTATTGGATAGTTTCTATACCTATATATATATATCTTTATATATAGGAAAAAATTATAGTTGAATATTATGGTAAAAAAGTACTAATTTACTTTTAATAAATATCTGATTCGAAAAAAACTGTTTATCTGATGTATTTCTACATTGATGAATAAATTATGTATAGAAAAGTAATTGGTATCTTTAAAAAAAAGGTTTCATTCGACCGAAATCTAACTTAAAATAATTATAATGCGGGCTTTTTCATTGATGAAAGCGTATCTATAGTTAGTTTTTGAAAATTTCTATAAAAATAGAATAAATTCTATTATTTACGTAACAGTTACTACCACTATGTTTAATCGTCGGTTTATTCTTTTCGTCAGTGATGTATAAACTGCATCAGTAAATTTAAATAAAAAGATCATAAAAAAAACCATTAAAACATCGATAAATATATCAGAAATACAGAAATTGTACTTAGGTGGTTGACTAAAATATTCTGTAAGTACAAAAAATTGTAAAAGGTATATCAAGTATTAGTATTCGATAAACCATTTTTAATTCTCCTTGTGCACAAACTAAAGTAGCGACAAATGTAAGACATTGATTCATTCCTCTAACATAGCAGCAAGCATCATTGAAACTGTATGACATGTTTTATCAGATATAATAATTAGTAGAAATCTTAATGTCAGTATAAAAACTGAAAAGAGATATAGAAATAATAGATTATCAAAAAGGAATATATCATTAATGAAAGTTGTTTCATTTGATATTCTTGTTAAAGAATTCAAAAAAGTTATTTAGTTTATTTCTAGACAGATATATATATATACATATATTTTTCTTTCTTTTGCAATTAGTATTTATTTTTGAAATGAATGACATTAATTATGTTGACTATTTAAAAATATCTTTTACATTACTCTTTTTTTCATATCAAGGAAGTCTGAAATATGTCGATGTCAATGAATATATACGAAAGACAAACTTATATCTGTCCACCATGTTGAGGTTGTGGATGCATCATGTCTATTCGATCTACACTCACCCTCAAGAGATCATTTGAATTCATTGATCTCTTACACATATCTGCACCCACACTTACACCCTCAAGGCGGTTTTTCTCGATCAGTATTGTATAATCAACAATATATATTCGAGAACAACTAAATCATATCTTAATTATATTTGTATATATTAATATATTGTTTTTATTAACAGTGTAGAAGATAGATAAGGGATTCTTTAAGTAGGCGGGACAAATGAAGCAAATGGGACTTTTGAAAAAATGTAGGATACAAAAAAGTTTGTCATACAGGTCTTTATTTTAGACGATATGTGTCCATGACTTTATCCAGGCTATCATTTGTAATGGCTGAATTGGATGCTTGAAGACAGCTTAAAAGATGTGCCTTGTTTGCAAGCACTTGAGCTGGAGACGGTGTGCTGCCTTGAGGAGCCGGTGTAACGCCGTAGAAGCAAGCAACAAACTGATTCGCTGTGATACCTAAAGCGGCGGCAATGGCTGTTACCGGACGTCTAGGATCATTTGACAAAAAGACGGGTGTACCTGTAGAAGCTGGATTTGGAGGTGGAGCTGCGGTAGCTGGAGCGGGTGGTGGTGGTGGTGGAGCTGGAGCTGCAGTAGCCAGAATGACAAGTGCAGAGACTAAAATATAATATTCCAATTTCATTCTATCGTCTTTGACTGTGAGTTGATTCGATTCTGCTGTTTTGTTGCGTTCGTTTGTGTTGTTCGTTTCTTTTTTGAATGAAGGTAATGTATTTTTCCTTTTATACTATATTCTTTTGCGACCATACTGCTTATTTGCATTTGTCAAAAGTGCTTGACAGAATAAAGTAAATAGAATTGTCAGGATTGTTGTATTAACGACAAAAAGCCTTTGATGTGCACATCGGCACATTAACATAATGAATCATGCAAGCAGTTGTATGGCAAATACAAAAAAAAGCGTTAAAAGTACATCAAAAATAATGTACCATACTCTTAGCTACCCACATCCAAGTCGATAGTTACTGAGGAGGACTAGATATAGGTTTTGCCTAAAGTACGCATTTTACAATGAAACTAATTATATATTTTAAATCAGTGCGAAATTGTGAGTTCATTGATGTTTCGTTCCATCTGCCGCTTTAAAATAAAATTTTCAATAATCCAAATAGGGATAGAAGTTTTAAATAAAATGAAAGTATAAAATTCATCAGACTAAAAAATCAGTTTTGTTTAGACTTTGATTCTGAGTTTGAATGTGTTTTGTTCTTCAAAACATCGAAAAAACGTGCTTTCAAAATTTTACCTTGTAAGAGAATAGAGGACAAAATTTTGAAATAATCAGTCTTTTAGTAATAAAATCAGGAGAATCTTGATCAATTAATTCCATCTCCGAAATCAACCGAGATGTTGACGAGATAATTCCGTGTAAAAAATTTAATTACAATTAAATTCTCCTCCAAAGGCTTGTAATGTACACAAAAATCGATTTGAAAATTTCGAAAAGTTAATCATACCAATCGATTCCATCAATCTAGAAAACCTTCGTTCAAACCTTAAACTTTTCCAAGCCTATGCTTTTTTGTATCAGACACATAGAGCGATACAAACGGATTTTAATTTTTCTTGATACAACTCTTTCTACAATCAAACGAACAACAGAAATTTCAATCTTCCTGATCAAATGTTATCCCTGAATTATCAAAATCAAAATTGTAATGGTATGAACGTAAATGTAAACAATAATGACAATAATGAAAATAATATTGATCCAGATAGTAATACAAAAGTGAGCAATGAAGATCACAGTGTTAAATTATATTGATATACTGTATTATCCATTTTCTTGCTATTAAACTTGTTAGAATTAAAATAGAATTTTCACAAACTTCAACTTCGCCCACTTTTCACTAATGTATGCATCCAGACATCAAAATGATTAGAAAAAAATGCTCGTCTGATGTATTTCCTCATTGTTGAATAAATTATAAATACAAAAAAAACTGGTACCTTTAAAAAAAAGGTTTCATTAAATCAAAATCTAACTTAAAATAATTAAAATACAAACATTATCATTGATGAAAGCGTAGCTATAGTTAGCTTCAGAAAACTTCTATAAAGATAGAATAAATTCTATTATTTACGCAACAGTTACTATCACTATGTTTGGTTGTCGGTTTATTTTTTATATCAGTGATGTATAAACTGCATTAGCAAATTTAAATAAAAGTATTCTATAAATACAAAAAATCGTAAAAGATACCGCACAAACTAAAGTATTGACAGATGGAAAATATTGATTCATTCCTTTAACATAGCAGCAAGCATCATTGAAACTGTATGACATGTTTTATCAGATATAATAATTAGTAGAAATATTAATGCCAGTATAAAAACTAAAAAGAGACATATAAGTATAAGGAATAGATTATCAAAAGGAATAAACCATAATTGAAAGTTATTTTCATTTGAAATTCTTGTTAAAGAATTCAGAAAATTATTTAGTTTATTTCTAGAAAGACATATATATATGTATTTTTTTCTTTCTTTTACAATTACCATTTATTTTTGGAATGAATGACATTAATTATGTTGATTATGTACAAATATTTTTTATATTATTGTTTTCTCAGATCAAAGAAGTCTGAAATATTCTGTATGAATATGAACTAATTCAGGTTTCTAATGAACAACATAAATGGAAGATTTTTGTTATTGATCTTAGAAGAATTTTAGTTAAAAAAATATCTTATAGTTTTAGGAAATAAAATATGTTAGCAAAAATAAATTATCCACACTCTCGTCTATACTCTGTTTTATATTTTATTGACACCTGAAAGTTTTTCGAAGTCAATTTTATACAATGAACAATATATATTCGAGAAGAACTAAGTCATATCTTAATTATATTTGTATATATATTAATATATTGTTTTCATTGATAGTATAGAAAATACATATGAGTTTTTAAGTAGGCGGGAGTAAATGAAGCAAATGAGACTTTTAAAAAAATGTGGGATACAAAAAATTTTGTCGTACAAGTCTTTATTTTAGACGGTATGTGAGCATAACTTTGTCTAGCTCAACAATTGTAATGGTTGGTTTTAATGCTTGAAGACAGCTGAAAAGTTTTGCCTTGCTTGTAAACAATTGAGCTGGAGCTGGTATGCTGCCATTAGTAGCTGGTATAACGCCGTCGAAGCAGGTGACAAGCTGATCTGATGTGATACCTAATGCAGTCGCAATGTCAGCTACCGGACGGTTAGGATCGTTTGGCAAAAAGATTAGTCTAGCTGGGGTAGCTGCAATCGCGGTTGTAGCTCTTGTAGCAGCTCGAGTGGGGCCTAAAGTTGTAGTAGCTCGAATCGTGGGTGGAGGTGCGGTAGTCACAACGATCAGTGCAGAGACTAAAATATAATATTCCAGTTTCATTTTATCGTCTTTGACTGTGAGTTGATTCGATTTTGCTTATATTTTTTGTGTTCGTTCCTTTTTTTGAATTAAGGTAATTTATTTCTCCTTTTTATATTACATTTTTTTGCGATTATACTATTTATTTGCATTTGTCAAGAGTGGTTAGCAAAATTAATTAAATATGATTTTCAAGAATGTTACATTGACGACAAAAAGCTTTTGATGCGCATATCGGCAAATTAGCATAATTAATTATGCAAGCAGTTGTATGACAAATACGCAAAAAAAACTTTAAAAGTACGTCAAAAATAATATACTATACTCTGAGCTACTCACGTTCAAATCGATAGTTATCGGGAAAGATTCGATATAAGTTTTCTCTCAAGTACACATTTTTACAAAAAACCAGTTACATGTTGCAAATCAGTGCGAAATTGTGAATTAATTAGTGTCTTACCTTATTTGAATCTTCAAAATAAAACTTCTGTCAATCTAAGTAGCAACTAGGGGTAGAAATTTCATCAGAATGAAAAAGCAGTTTGGCTTAGAGTTTGATTCTGAGTTTGAATGTGTTTTGTTCTTCAAAACATCGAAAAAACGTGCTTTCAAAATTTCATTTTGTAGGAGAATAGAGGACCAAGTCTTGAAATAATCGGTCTTTTAGTAGTAACTTGAGGGTGTGGGTGTGGGTGTCTCTTCTTCTTTACCATCCTCTCCCACACCCACACCCAGCGGTGGTTTGCTTCGCAACTTCATCCATGCCTGCATCCATAATCATGAGATTTCATCTGATAGTTCAAAGATAACTCAGTGTAGATAACTCATTGAACTAATGTACAGAATTCAATCGAAACACACAGACACACAAAAAAGAGAATCTTTCGTCACTTTCATGATTTTTTATAGTAACGCGATGTTATTTCATTATAAAAGATAGTTAACTTTTGAAAAACTCAACTCTGTCAATAGTGGGCATTTAATCGAGTACATGGCTTGGATAAGCTTGCATTAGAAATTGTAATTGATTCATTTGCTTATAATATCGTTGAATGTCCGGATGATCAGGTGGAAGAATTTTTTCAGCTGCTTTAATAGACAGTTTATGACAACATTCAGCTTTTAAGTAAAACTGAAGCCGTGTGCAAGTGACTCCTAGAAGATTATAAATTTCGGGCAAGAATGAATGTTGCTTTTCTTGACGAAGTGCTAAATGAAGTGATTTTTCTGTTAGCTGCATAGCTGTTAACCATTCTTCCTGACGATAATACAATCGAGCGAAATTATGATATACAACAACCATCGATTCATTTAAATTTTGCTCGTCTATCATTGTAAGTTCAGGACGCTGATTGTAAATTAGAATAGCATCTTCGAAGGCTTTCGTTGCTGATTCAAAATTTGATGTTTTAGAATTCATAGTTCCAGTCACAATAAGTTCACAAATACGGCTATTAATATCAATTAACGATAAACGCTCTGATTTTTTATTTGCATCAGCTAACATGTGATTTCTCCCGTTGGTGCTAGCGTCTTTAGCTACTTGTTCAAAAAATGGTTCTGTAGCTTTTTCATCGTTCTTCGTATGTGCTGTTTTCATCTTGTTATACTTATCTTGAATGAATGATAATTCATTTCGATTAATTAATAATGATGAGGTATGAGCATATTCAAGGTATTGTTCTAAATACTCCAGAGCTTTTGATACGTCATTCTGCCTTTCATAGGCAAACGACAATGCCATATATGTTTTACAAATATGAGGAGAATTATTCGGAAAGACTTCCAGTTGAGTTTTTAATACATTTTCTAAAATATCTACTCCTTTTGAATAATTACCTTTAAGTATTTGTAAGTGACCATAATTGATTTGATATTGAATATGATCCATACTAATATTCTTTACATCAGATTTTGATATTATCTCGACTACTTTTTCCAGATGAAACGAAGCTTTATTGAGATCACCATATTCTATACAAATAGTTCCAATGCTATTGTGCGTGTTAGCTAAAGACATATGATTCTCGGGTAAAGCGTTAGTATCAATTTCAAGTGCCTTTTCAGCCATTTCCAAAGCTTCTTTTAAACAACGTTTGCTTAAATAAACAAAACTTAGATTGCTATAGATTGCAGCAAGATCTTCATGTGTTGAAACTGTACCCTTGAGCCGTATATCTAACGCATGTTGTAAACACTTTAAAGCATTATCATAATCTTCTAAGCGACAATATGTATCGCCAATGTTATTATAAGCTGTAGCTAGCTTTGGATGATACTTATTGAGATTTAAAACTTCTTCATCGATTTTTAATGCTTTTTGAAAGTATTCTAAAGTTTGATGATAATCACCCTTGTTTTGATATATCAGTGCAATTTGATTAAATGTATAGGCATTTCTTCTGGGTAGCCTCTGAATATCAAGAGCTTTATTGAAATATTCCAACGCTAATTGATCATTTCCAAGTTCATGATAAGTTGAACCAATATGAGTATAGGTTACTCCAATATTATCAACTGGATCACGTTTGTAATGTAGTTTTAAATAAAATTCTAGTGCTTGTTGATAATGTTGCAATGCTTTATGATAGTTTCCTCTATTATAATGAGTAATTCCGAGACCGATGTGAACCTTACCTAAAAATTCTGGATTTTGTGTAGTATGTTCAATAATAATATGTAAATATCTTTCGGCCTTATCATATTCGCCCATTTGAATCAATACGTCTCCAAGTGTAGCCAAGCTAGGGTCATCGCAATATTCTTTTTCTAATTGATTTCGCAAATTACTTAATTCATTTTCTGCATCATCGTTAACTAAGTTCAATTGAACATACCAATTTTTAGCATTACCTGGCATAGTTTCCACGTTTTCAATACGAAATACTGTTCCCGGCGAGAAAAGTATTTCTTCTTCAGCTTCCACTTTACTTAATTCTTTTAAACAAGCAAACGGCCTTTTTAATGAATGACGAGTATCATCAATTTCAATTTGAAATACAACAGATATGATATCTGTAGATTTACAGGTGTCGTCGCATCCAGCAAAAATATATGCAAGATCATAATCTTTAGTCGTTGAAAAAAATTGATTAATTGATATTAAACGATCAACATTATCCTTAATAACATTGAATTCCTTGACGTTCATAGATTGACCTCGAAAAAGAGTTAAACTACTACTAGTTGTATTATTTATAAATTGTTTGACATATAGTTGTTGTAATTGATTATACATATCAGTTAAGAAAGAACGGAATACGAAGATAAGATCAATATTTTCTGTACGAAGTGCTTGATTTAATAGGCGAAATAAAAAGCTGGCACCTGTATAGTATTCAAGAGCTTTGCTTGATTGGTAATTTTGACGTAGATCTTCGATGTTCTTCTTTTCTAAAGTGTTTGTTCTCATTTGATATTTTTCACATTCAGCTAACATTTCATCCATTGTGTTATAATTATGGGGTATTTTGATTAGAATATCGATTAATAACTGGAACCATATAAACCGTGTATTATCTTCATGTAAATTTCGAAGAGTTTTTTGATTTTTATCTTTATTAAAAATACTAATAGAAATTTCAGCCTCGTCAGAATATTTTTTGTAATCTTTCCATAATTGATCACATAAACTATCAATATTAGAATATATTCCACGAATTTTTTTTGATGATTGAAAGAATATTGGTTCATTGTTTTCTTCACTTTGAAATATATAAATGAAACGAATTTTTGTTAGAGAAAATAATGATAACATAGAATCGTTATCTAATTTAGGTGAAATAAAAGATATCTGAATATCATCAGGTAATGAATCAATATAATCACGACATTCGTCGATTTTAACGAATTTTTTTATTGAATTTAATTTCTTTTCAATAGTTGTTATTGCAGTTGAATTTCCATTATCATCTTCTTGAAACCAAATAACCGATAAAGTGTTAATAGCTGTTTGATCTTCTACTGTATCATCGGTAAGTAATTTAGTTTTTCGTTTAACTGGATTGACAACATTTATTGTTAGTAAATCTCGTTTAAATGTTTCGATGTCTCCAAGAAGTTGTTTGTCAGCATCTGGAGAAGTTGCATTAACAACAGCTCTTAATTTTGGATATATTTGCATATCAATTTGAACTTCACACGGCGAAAGAGAATATATGTATATATAGACAATTTGTGGGAGGTCATGTATTAACGGTATAATATCAACGAATTTATCAGTCAGTGTAAGAAATATCTTTCGCCATTCATATGATGAAATAAAATCAACGCATGCATCAGGGTCATAAAACGATCTTATTCTCGTAAAATATTTTTGAACACCATTTGCATCTTGAACTCCGAATATGAGATCTTGATTTTTTTGAATTTCAAATATTTCATCCAAATGTATCTCTATAAATGGTTCGTTATCATGTGTTACTTCTTCTGAATTAACATTTCGTGCAATGATATGGGTTCCTAATATCTGCTGTTCCATATGAATAATATAAAACTAAAAATAGATTATTGTATTTGAATGCAATATTATTATTATTCTTTTCTTCTAACTAATTCTTATTTACAATCCATGTAATTTGACTTACTCTCTGAGTAAAGGAAAGTTTTCTGAACTGAAAAAATGGGTGTGGGTGGGTGGGTGGATGTGGGTTAAGAGTAGAGATACCCGTACCCACACCCTTCAACATTATTCAACAAACTGGTCCTATTTCACGAGAATTCAGTTCTTGAAATTCCTTTCGGAAGTTGCTAACTTGTTTCAATTACTAATCTATAACTACACAAGACTACATAAGGATGTGAGCAGGAGATAGTTTTGGAACGGGATTCAAGGAATTAGGTTGAAGTGAAATCAAACAGAACTTCGAAAATTCGTTGGAATTACGAATAGTTTAGAACGGGCTCAATTTGCAGAATTTCGCGAACCGAATCGTCACGAGACCAACTCAATCTTTTGAAGGATGCTGGAGTTGCAAGAATAGGATGAAATTGATTCCACAATGTTCATCATTATAGAATACAATGTATTCCCAAATGATTTTGGTCTACACATGGTGACGTAGAAATGGATGACTTAAAACCTGGTGATGAAAATACATGAGGTGTCTTTACGACAAAAAAATTGTTGCTACATGATCCGACAACAAGTTCGCAGGTACTAACAATTATCAGAGACACATATAGAAATAATAAGTTTAATTTTCTAATAATTTTTATACGTTACACAGCAACAAGTTCATCCTTTCATACAACAGATTATATCTAAATTTAAGGAATATATATACTATATAAGATTTATTTCAATTATTATTGGCAATACATACTTTCATAACAATAAAAACCAGCATAGACACCTGCACATTTCAAAATAAGCAGAATGACAATACAAAACGTGAAATAACTCCATCGATCAAACCTTCTATGTAGAAAAGAATGTATTTTTCTTTAGTTATTTCATCTAAATGAAATGAAAAAAGTAAGAATTCGATGTTAATATGTGTGTTTATTTAGCAACAATGGAATGCATGGTAAATAAACATAAGCAGATGGTAACAGCATCAAAAACAAGAAATTTATATTCGAATTATGGAGAGTGGCAAAGTATAGTTTAACAAATATTTTATCTTTTAGTCAGATGATTAGCGACTCGTTATACTTTAACATCAACCGAATCATATTTTATGAATTTCTTTCATTTGTAAGAATATGATTAGTTTACTTTCAATGTATAGACGACAAGCATTAGGATGGCAAAATATGAATTTTTCGATTATTGACAGAAAAGAAAAATAATTGAATTTATGGTAGAAGAATAAATAATGACATGTAAAAAAAAGTCTATAACTACAAACAAGTAAAATTGAAGCATGTTCGAAGTAGAAATATAAAATATTTATTATGATTAACAAAAATTGAATTGTTCTATGTCAAAACCAGTAGTTCGATTTTCAATCGTATTTAAATCATTAAGTTAGATTGTGTTATTTATATTTATTGTACTAATTTGGAACTATCGATTATGTTCACATGTAACTTATTTCTATAATAATGATGATTGACAACTATCTCTTAATGAAAGTGATGGACTTGTCTGTGAATCAAATCATCTTTGAAAGAAACGTAAATATATTTATTAAACTCAAGAAAAAGAAAATTTAATAAGACGTTCAAATAGTTACTATTTTGTGTCAAATTGGGAACCGAATTTTCATTGTTCTCATGCTGAACGTATTGGAGCTATGGGTGATAGTGGTAATGATACTCAACGGAATAATTTATAAACTTGGTCAACTATTATTTAGAAATTAGATCATACACATTGGCCCATCGATATACTTAAAATTGATGTTGAAGGTGAGGAATATTCATTTCTTTCGCAGATATCTTATTCAATGAAAAATATATGGCCACGATAAATTCTCGTTGAATTACATTCAATAAATATTACTATTATTCAAGTTATATTTGATTTCATGCGTAAAAATAATTATGTTATTTTCAATAAAGAAAATAATGTTGACGGAAGACCGTATTTCTTTGAATATGGATTTTTGAAGTTAAATCCACAATTTTTTCTTCATTCCGCATCTAATAAATAATTTTTAAATTATATATGATGTATTATTTATTTTATTTTATTTTTATTTTAATAACTTTTGCGAGATTAATAAGAAGAAGAAGGAATAAATAATTAATTAATGAAATAAATATAAAGTGAAGAGTAATAACAATAAAAGATTAGAACATAGAGAAATAGTTATTGATGAAGAAAATGCACAATTCTGAATACATCGAGTTGTACTGCTCATAATTTGGTTCCATGATGATGTAGTTTGCACTAAAATAGATACATACGATTATTTATATAGATTATTACTCTTAAGAAATACTTGGACTTGTTGTTGTTGTTGAAGAAAGTTGCGTAGACGATATTGTTAAACTACTTGTAATTGAAGGTGCTGATGACGATTTCGAACTAGTCAAAGTTGAGAATGATGATGATGGATTATTACTAGTCAGCAATGGAGTTTGTGTCGAGAGAATATCTATTGGAAAAAATGTATATATAATAAAATCTAATTTTCATAAAACTTACTACACGAATTTGGATTTGTTGCTAAATTGAACATTTGTACTCGTGCATTATTTTTATCTGTAACATAAATATTTCCTTGACTATCAAAACTCATGCTATAAGGTTGATTTAATTCAGAAGATGTTGAACCTGTTTGTTGAGAACATCCAACTAAACATCTATAACCATAAGGACCTGAACCAATAACACGATTCGTATTTTGATCAACAATAAATAAATATCCATCAGCATCTAAAACAACATCTGATGGTCCATTTAAGTTAAAGGTTCCTATGGTTCCACTTCCTGCTATTGTTGTTCCATTCAATTGTCCATAAGAAAACTTTTGTATTCTATTATTACCACCATCAGCTACATATAAATCCAAATTAATATCAACAAATATTCCACGAGGCCAATTTAACAAATATGTTGTATTTCCAGGAGTACTATTTCCAGCAGCTAATTGTGTCATATTTCCAGTACTATTGAGAGATATTTTAAGAACTTGATTAATCTTAAGAGAACAATATAAAGTTTGATTAATATCAATAAACAAACCATAACAATGTCCACCACTCAAATATGTTACAACAGTACTTTTTGTTGAATTTATTATCCATTTATTAATTTGATTATATACATTACCATTTTCAACATAAATATCACCATTATTTAATACAAATAAACCTATTGGATCATTGAGACCACCAGATACTGTTCTTGTTACATTATTTTGTCCATTTTGCCATACTTGAACACGATAAGAAGTTCGATCTGTTACATAGATAGTGTTATTTCTATCAACAAAAACAACACCAGGATTTGTACCAACTGTAGTACTATTTGCAAATGTAGTAGCATTTGCATTCCAAGTTGCACATGGACTGAATTTCGGCCGATTAACTGATACACCTATAAGAATAATAAAAGAAAAAAATATTCATGATTTCTCGATCTTTACTTGAATTTTGACTGTTAACCAACGGAATGTATAAACAAATATAGAAATAGATAATGGATAATATCATCATAAAAGCAGTTATTGTTCTTGATCAATGATTGTTTTACTAAAGAAAAAAAAACTATTTGTTTGTATTGCAACTGCTTTCGACGGTGTCTTTATATAGTTGATATAATTACATTTCCTCAGATAGAAATAAAACTAGTTTTTTTTGAGAGACTACTCAAAAACAAATGGAAAAAAGATGATTTATTTATTCATTTAATTTTCATAAGTATTATGAGCATGTGATAAAACTTGAGATATGTATCTTCTGTAATCAGTGAAGTAGAAAAAATAGTTTAGTAAATAATTTCAAAAAAAGTACTGTAAAACAGTCTAACATTTGGTTAAAGAGTAAAAATCCTGACTTTGAAATGTTTTAAATTATATCAACAAATGAATATATTCAAGATAGTTACTTCCATTTTTTTATTTCTGATATCGCAAAAGCAGAAGAATTCATTTAAATAGATATCTCTATTATCGTTCAAACTAAGATTACGATTGACTAAAAACATTTTACTTAAAACTCGGAATTAATCTCGAGATCGACGTCACATTTTGATTCTTGATGATAAACTGATTTGAAAATCAGCAATGCAAAAGTTAAAGAGTCAGGAGCAGTTTCCACAAAATTCCGTCTTATATCAGCCTTTAAATATATGAATGTGTCATCGATTTGATAATTTATTTTTCTCTGAATCCAACATTGGGCGCTAACAAATATATTATGCATGACTAAATTAAAATTGAATTTCTGGGAAAATTTTGTAATTATTTTCAAGTATATTTTTACAAAACAAAAAAAACAGATAGGAAAAACTTGATATTTAATTATTTGTTTTTTTATTATTCATTACGATATAATTACATATTTAATGAACATTGAAATATTAGATGAATACTAAGAAAACACAGAATCGTGTGAATCAATCATTAAAGAAAAGACAAATATATGACGTATTATATGATTTAATTGTTAAAAGAAAAAAACAATCAAAATAATATAGTTATTGCACAATATGTTGACAGTATTTTTATATTTTCAAATATATTCTGCTATGATGATTAAGATGTTTTATAATTAACATACAAACAATAAAGAATTCATTTATAAGAGAAAAACTATTACAATCGATTGTTTCATAATGAACTCAAACTGAATTTTAGATTAAACGCAAAGATTATTTTTACTTTGAATTATGTTAATAGCATCCTTTTTTTTGAAATAATTGATATAAAATCAGAAGATTTAGTAAAATAAAGAATGAATGTGAGCAAAGTTGCAAATATGACTACTATTTCAGCTAAACATCAAGATTCATCCTCGCTCACATCCTTCGATATATTAACTGGAATAGAAGATCGTGTATGACATATAATCCAAAAACTGACAATAGTTATAAAATATTACTAACAAAAGTATTCATCAGGGTGTGTGGATATGAATATCACAAAAACGTTTCTTCCACACATACATCCTGATTATATCTGAAATTGTCTCGTATGAAATATGAGGAGGTTCTTTCTATCACGATTTAGATACATTTACTTATCATGCGTACTATTATATTAGAAGAAAACATGTAGATATGATTCTTATATTTGTTCTAATTGTCACGTCAAGTCTGGGTTCCTTCACCAGAAATACTTCTGCTAGTTAAAAAGGTTTTGATCAAATATGTTAACATTACTCGTTCATCCAATCGTATTTACGTATAAAAGAAAGAAAAATAAAATAAAATATATTTTTATTTCTCTCTGTCTTCATTTAATAATCATACCGAATAATATAATATCATAGGAAGAATATTTTTCAAAAATGACAGTTGATAGCATGTTGAAGATATGGTTCTACATTCTAATCACTCTTCATGAAATAACAAATGCTGCAGGTAAGTTTTAATGATTTATGTTCACTGATATTAAAACATAATTCTCTTTCGATAATAAATATACATATCAAACAATCAAAATCAAATCAATAGTTTCTATTAGAAATAAATATCTCTCAAATGATTCTTATCATATTGTGTTGGGAAAGAAAGAGAAAAAAGATAATTTATTTCTACTGGAATTTAATCTGACAAAGAGAATTCTGAGACGACTATTTCTATATTAATACACTATAGAACATTTTCCGTATTTTCTCCTTAGAATGTCAACAAAACAAAAAAGTTTTATTGATATTTTCTTGTATTTAAGCCAGAGCACAAATTATTATGAGAAAAATATTCAAATTTTATTTTTTTATCAGATCAAATTAAAAGAGATATTAGTCAGCGGCGGCGCGAGCGGGAGGGGGGTACCCTCTGCTTTTAGAAAAAAGACTGAATTTTCTCCTATTTTGCCATTTTGGATTAGAAAACTGGGGTAGATCTGTAGAATCCTCTAAAACCTAAACCAAAACCCTTTTTTTTGGTCATTAGTTGAGGTTTTTGGATAGTTAAGACGGAAAATTCTAGAAAATTTTTCTAAAATCCAACAAAGCTTAAACTGAAAAATCTTTTTTTTTCTTTCTCTGGTTTTGTGACTACCCCCCCCCTCCTGCTTTTAGCCCTTCGCGCCGCCACTGATATTAGTATATAATAATTTCTATATTTAAATGAGAGTTAATTTATATATAAACTGAATAAATTAAATTGTTTTTTCTAAGATGAAATGTTTTAATAATTTATTTTAAATATAATAGAAATATCTTATAATCAACCAAAATTACCGTCTTGTCCACAATGGGATCCTTACGGAATTACATTTGCAAATGAAACAACAGTTGGAAGCGGTCCATTAGATATTTTTATTGATAGAAACAATATTGTCTATATAACTGATGAATATAATGGAGAAATTGAAATTTGGAATGTGGAAGATCTCGTTCCAAAAACAATTAAATTAGATGATTCATTTGAACCTTGGGGACTTTTTGTTACAATTGATGAAAATATCTATGTCGGCAGTGAACCTAATAAGAACGTAGAAAAATGGACTCTGAATGAAACAAGAGGTACTGTTGTGATGAATACATTTGATTCTTGTCCTGGAATATTTGTTGATATTAAAAATAATATTTATTGTTCGTTGGGAGAGAGTCATAAAGTCATAAAACAATCACTTGATAATGACTCAAACATAATATTGGTAGTTGCGGGTAATGGTAGTCAAGGATCTGCTAATAATATGTTAAATCGACCTCGTGGAATCTTTGTTACTATCAGCTTTGATTTATATGTTGCAGATTGTTTCAACGATAGAATTCAATTATTTAAATCTGACCAATTAAATGGAATAACAATAACAGAGAGTATCAGTACATCAAGTATCAATCTATTACGTCCAACTGGTGTATTCTTAGATTCGGATAATTATATATACATTGTAGATAATGCAAATCATCGGATTATTGGATCCCGATCAACTGGATTTTACTGCATAGCTGGATGTACAAGTAAACCTGGCTCAACATCAACTCATTTGGACTATCCATATGCAGCTGTTTTCGATAAGTTTGGTAATATTTTTGTTACTGATCAAGACAACAATCGAATACAAAAATTTCTTTTAATAACAAATAATTCTAGTAAGTTTATCTATAGAAAAATCTTTTTTCAAAACAATTCATCAATTTAACTAAAATACCTATTATAAGTATATCAATCTCTTGTTGGAAAAACAGTTGTTATATTAAATATTTTGTATAAAATGACAAATTCTTAACACTTAAAATAATATAAATCATCGCGACGCTCTCATCGAGAAATTTCATTTTCGTGTTTTCATATTTATTTAAAATATTCCCAACTTTGTGACGTTTGCTCAAAGGGGAATAAACCGATTTCTTGATTTCTAATTTCATTTTCGTGATTTTCTATGAGTTCTTGTGATTTCTAGTATGAAAATCAGTTGAGGATGTGTGTAGGTGAATGTAGCTGTGGCTGGGTAGGTGAGGGTGTGGGTGTCCGTGTCGATGTAGATACTATATTCATCTGACACCCACCCACACTCGCACCCTTTTGATTTCTGTTGATTTCTTTTTGATTTCTACTTGTTTTCTAGTATGGAAATCAGTTTGTTTTTCCTTACGTCTGTTTCAGAAAACTATTAATACAATAGATTTGAATTTCTCTCTTTCAAGATCTATATTATTTAATGATTCTAAAGCATGTTTATCTTCATTCTCTAATTGAGCTTAAAGGTTTGTTTAACTACCATGAAGAATTTCATTCATTTGAAAATAACTATTTTAAAAAATAAAATATCCTACACAAGAAATTTAACTTGTCTTGTCGAATTTTAAATTTCTTCTGTTTATGTTCATTAAATAGATAGTTCACCCAGTATCCAATCAACATATTCATCAACATTAACTGAAAATAGTCAAATATTTGCCCCAACTGATTGTGGAAAATTGAATTATTATTATGAAACCATACAAGTAGAAGTAAATGAAAGCGGTTGTTATAATCTTGTTAGTAAAAGTGGAATCGATATCTATGGTTATATCTCTGAAGACTATTTCAAGCCAATTATTCCAACTGAGAATTCATTCTCACACATTGGTCCGTTCTATGCTAATAATCAATTTAAACTTGAAACATCTCTACTGATCAACACTAAATATATATTGGTTGTAACAACATTAAATCCAAATATAACAGGAAACTTTTCAGTCATTGCAACTGGGCCAAATCATGTCATTTTCAATCGTATTAGTAAGTAATTCGAATTTATTTGTGATTAATCATTAATGAATTAATTAGTTCTTCTCAAAAGAACTTCTACAAAGATTCATTTTGTTACTTGGTAAAAGTTTCTCTATCATATTAAATGATTTTTATTTTTGAGAAATAGTATTTTAAAGCATAATTTCAAAAGTAGGAATTCATTGATAATCATTTTTATTTATCTAATGATTATGTGAATATTGACTTAATTTATTATATTGAATAGATGTATCATGGAGTATACAAAAAATCTATTCATCCCAACTGCCTATGAATGATCAGGTCTATACACGTAGTGGTTGTCAAA